CTCAGTGACACTATTTTCCCGCGGTTTTTTGGGGCTCATCACGTCACCGTCTGGCTTTGGTGGCGTCAGTGAGCGGAAAAGGCCCCGCAACTGAATGAAGAGAACGGTGGGGAGGGAAGGAGGATTTGCTGGAGGTAGTTGGGATGGAACTACTTATGAAGTTGGTTTTCATGCATCCTCTTTTTACAGTAATATTTCAAAACTATGATACTCGTGACGTTTTGCTACATTTTTTGTTTTCCATTTATAACAGAGTGAGTTTTTTTATCGCCCTAAACGGAGCGGCGAGACGCGGGGCAGGGGGTGAGGGGAGAGCAGGGAGGAACAAGGCATCAAGCACCTGTGATCTGCTTCTACCGACACTGTACTAAGAAATGTTTTATAGTTTCGGAAGTGTTCTATAGTGTTCTATTTGGAAATGTTCTATAGAAGAAGTGTTCTGTAGTGTTCTATAGTTTAAGTGTCCTATAGTTTAGTTCTACCGGCACTGTTCTAAGTGTTCTATAGTTCTATAGTCCCCGAATTTTACGTTTTTTTTCTTGTTCAAATTCTTTTGTACGTTCCTATTTGTTGACAAAAGCAGACTCACAATTTGCAGAAGACGGGGAAAGTGGTCGAGAGAGGTGAGGGGACGGGAGACGGGGAGGAGAGATATGAAAAGTTAACTGAGGTTGGATCCGTCGGAAAAACTTGCGGCAGTTAGGTTTGGGGCTGCGGAAGGCAATAAATACGGTGGTGAGGGAGAACATATCCCATTTTCAGAAACATGCAGGGTAAGCTTTTCAGCGCTTACACCATCAAAACCCTCTTTTCTCAATATTACCCATGTCCTTCTTTATCTGTTCTGTTTGTGCTTGCATAGGCGGATCTAGGACGGCTTCTTGGACAAGGAGGGAAAGGGGTGGGGGAAAGTGGGGGCGCCTATGACTGTACCGTGATCTGTGGCCTGAAGGCTGAATTCAAATCGTCGTCAAAAAAACCCAAGATCGAGCAGGGCAGAAACTGAAAAATTTGAGATACTCGTTAGCCGGAAGTGAAGGGTTAAAGGCCCATATGAAGCACGCCAATTACCAAACTGATTTGAACGGTTCCTGAAAGAAAGAGAAACAATTAAATGCACAGAATTGCCTGGAATAGTATGAGCTGTAACTTCAGAGCGCGTGCTATATCTTTTAACTTCCATGTGTTGTGAAGTTGCTATGCAGAACCCAGTAAAAGACGTCGCGAAATTGTTAAATAAAAAATATATAACACGAAAAAGTATGCATTTGCAGGCATTCGCAATGGACGATGATTTAGTCTATAGACTTCGCGAACTGCTTATTGGGGACGGAATTCAGCACGGGCCTGAGCTGCCCAGCGTTGATCACGTGCTGAATTCCATCCAACCCATCTACCGCCAAGTGTTGAAGAAATTTTATGAGAGCAAGGTGGGCACTTAAGTCTGATGTAACGGTATTGCATTTGCTATTGCCGAGCACTTTAACAAACTGAGCAAGTGCCCGCAATAAGCTAAGTAGAAAGAGCGAAACAAATGGGCAAACGTTATTGTTGTCCCAAATCGCATCACACAAACGTGGCCAAGTACTAGCCACCGATTCTGTGAACTGACACTTCTGAATAGAGTAGGGCCAAAAGAAACCGGAAAAAAACTGAATCTAAAGCAAATGTATTTTTAGACGAGGGGGCGATTATGTGTGCGCTGTAGCGCACGCGAGATAGTGGAGTTTGGCGATGGTGAAGAGGGGGAGGCCCCAGCCCCGGTGGCTGTGGCAGCGGAGGTGGACGTCCCGGAACCACCTCCGCAGGCTGGGGCCGCGGCCGAGGAAGCGGCAGAGGCGGATGCCGCTGAGGCCGCCGTGGATGACGAAGGAGCGGCCGAAGAAGCGGCAGTGGCGGATGCCGCTGAGGCCGCCGCGGATGAGCAGGCCGCGGTCGACGAAGCGGCAGAGGCGGATGCCGCTGAGACCGCGACGGCGGATAACGAAGAGGAAGAAATGGAGGTGCGCGAACTCCATCTGTAAGTTTCTGACGCTTCTCTCAGGGTGCAGCTTTTTAATGGGTTCAACTTTTTTTCACTGAAAAGCTGTGGATTAAATGAACACCATGGTTAATTTTACAGGCGCACGCGCACCGTCTTCATCCCGGTGCCACATATCCGCCGAAGGGCTGAAGAGCCACTGCCTCCCTTCGAGGTCCCAGATTTGGCGGAACTACCGGGACCGTTCCGCAGCGCGTTAGGGGAGGCAGTGGCGGAGCCGTACCGGATTCACCAGGGCAACGGTCGCCTTCAGTTTGGTAATTATTATCTGATATGTTAAAAGATGGCTGAAAATTTACCGATTCCTTTTTACTGCATCGAAAAATTCGTAGAATGAAAGCAAGAGTATGCTTGCTCGATGACTGAGTTTACTTACTTTCTATGGGCTCATTCAGTGCGTTTCAGAATGCTGTTTGCCCGGTTGCGGTTCGCGGCGATTCGACACGTTGCGAGGATGGAAGATCCACGTGTCGCTATCACGCGACCATCACGACAACGGTAACTAATAATGCTTTCTCTTCCCTTTTAACAGTTTTATATCTTTTTGCGAAATAGTTATCAGCGGCCTCGCCCGCCACTGTCGCTGTTGGCGGGCCGTTGTAACTTGAAGCACTTTTTAGTGTTAATTTGGAGTTATAAATCAAAAATCTGCAGTTGTCGCCTATTTTGATAGGCATTCCTTGAAACGCTGCAGTTTTTGACATATATTTCTTACACAGGCTACTGCCACCAGTGTAGCCGCTGCGTAGCGGTGCCGCCAGGCGCGACGTCCGAACAACGGCGAGCGGCCCTGCGCAACCACAAGGAGGACTGGTGCCCAATGGCACCAAGGACGACGATGAAAATGCGCAGGGCACGGAAGATGGAACTCGCCCTCCTGGGAAGAAGAGAGGAGCTGGAGTCCATCTACGTACCAGGTTAGACTCTGTTCCTTCTGCTTATCCAGTTCTTCTTTAATTCTTCGTTGTTCGCTTCTTCATTTGGGTGACTGTTGTCCCATTCTTCTTCGTGTCCAGTCGGTCTTCAACGAGTCGTGCTTCAGGAGATCCAGCAACGACGGTCTCTGAGGTTGTCCCGCCAGTGCCGAGGCGCAGAAGGCACGCGGAAGAAGACGTGCGGGAGTGCGCTTTAAATCTTAAGCGCCTGAAGCGAGAAGATCAGGACGCGTTCGCACGCCTC